AATAAATTGTCGCATCTTACTATTTTTACAATTTTATAGGTTGCTAGTTAAAAAGATAATTATTTTTCCAATAAACAGTTAAAAAGATAATTGAATAATTGTCTTCCTTAATATCTTTCATTTTGATTCTCTAAGCGGAAACACAGATACTAAGTAACTAGACATAAATAGTTACATATTAGTAACAAAACAGAATTCCAAGTGAAACCATTTAGGGAAGTTAACAGAATGTAAAATAAAGGAAGAAATAAAAACAAAAAACGCTCCTGGTAGTGGTTTACCTCATTTTCTATGTTATAGAAAAGGAAAAAGAGATGTTCCCGTTATAGGAGTCAATATAGTCTTTTTATAAAAAGCAACGGCTAGAATACCGTTCTGCGTGTTTCAAAGAAAGTTAAATTGAACAGATAACATCGCCGAAAACACCGCACTTCGCTGGAAATCTAACTTCCCAACCCTAATTCCTTTTAACATCTCTCTCTCCCCACATTTCTCTTTGGTTCTTTCCCTTCGCCCGGTAAAGAATCCACGCTTCTTTCTTTTCCTTTCGAACTCCGATGTAGTAAACTTTTTTATTTTATTTTTCAGAAATCTCCTCAAAATTCACATCGATCTTTTCTTCTTCCTTCCTTCTCCATGTCTGCCTTCCATTAATTGCATCCAGTTCACTTTTGTTTCGTTTCTACAAATAATCAAAATTTAGGTACAAAAAAATTAGGTTTATTGTTTTTTTTGAACTATGTCGGTTGCTGGTGTTGCTCTCAGACCGATTTTAAAAGAATCGGCGAATTCGCAATTTCACCGGCAAGAACGAATTGCGCGTTGTTCCAGCGAATCTATTTTGATCTACCTTACTGCCGACGGTGCCGTTACTCCGATGCGTGTTCTCGAATCCGATTCCATTGCTTCCGTGAAAATGAGGATTCAGACGAGTAATGGTGTTCCGGAGAAGAAACTGATGCTGGTTTCGAATGGCAGACAGTTAGCGCGGAATAATAAGCTTGTTAAAGAGTACGGTGTTACTGCTGGGAATGTTGTTCATATGGTTCTTCGTTTGTCTGATATGATATTCATTGTTGTGAGGACAACGTGCGGTGAAGAATTTGAGTTAAAAGTTGATAGGCATAAAAATGTAGCGTATCTTAAGCATTGTATTAAGAAAAAACGGAAAGGTTTTATTGATCTTGTTGAGGATGAACAAGAGTTTTTCTGCGGTGGCCAGAAGCTTGATGAGAAGAGAATTTTTGATGATATTTGTAAGAATGAGGATGATGTTATTCATCTCATTGTTAAGAAATCAGCGAAAGTTAAGGCTAAGGTTGCTCGGAATAAGGATTTGGAGCTTTCTGTTGTTGCGGAGGATTTGAATCTGAACAATCACGATCAGAATCAGAATGAAGTAGTTAAGGTTATAGAAGAACAACGCTGTGGCGGTGCTGATTTTTGGTTAGAACCGTTTTTTGTTAATCCTAGGATCAATTTTTTTCCTTTCCTTTGGGATATGATAGATTCAACTTTTAATGGTTTGAAAAAAGGAAATAAACCCGTTAGATCTTCTGAAGGAACAGGTGGGGCTTACTTTATGCAAGATTCGAGAGGTGTGGAATATGTTTCTGTTTTCAAACCGATTGATGAAGAACCAATGGCTGTTAATAATCCGTGCGGGTTGCCTGTATCCTCGAATGGAGAGGGTTTAAAGAGAGGGACAAAGGTTGGAGAAGGAGCTGTGAGAGAAGTTGCAGCTTATATACTGGATCATCCAAAGGCTGGCCCGCGATTGGTGTCGGGCGAAGCAATTGGTTTTGCTGGTGTTCCGCCTACTGTTTTGGTTCGGTGTTTACATGAAGCGTTTAATTACCCTAATGAAGGGGATTGTGGCTCTTTGATGATGGATCGGAAGGTGGGATCTTTGCAGAAGTTTATGGGTAATGATGGGAATTGTGAGGATATTGGACCTGGTGCTTTTCCTGTGGAAGAGGTGCACAAGATCAGTGTGCTTGATATAAGAATGGCTAATGCAGATAGGCATGCAGGGAATATATTGTTTAGAAAAGACTCAAGTGGCCAGATTCTGCTCATTCCCATTGATCATGGCTACTGTCTTCCTGAGAAAGTAAGCCAACCATTTCACATTTTTGCTTCTTTTCCTATGCATTATCAATTATCATGCTTTGCATGTTCTGGTTGGTGTGTCTATAAAATCATGACAAGTATTATCTCAATTTGATACAAAACAAATCTCAACCGATATGAATCTATATTTGTGGATCTATTTTCGATATGAATCTTATATTGAATCGCAATTTATTATGATGAATCCCTATTCATTCAAATCAATCATTATCTCAATTTAAGTGCAGTCAGGCACTTTTCTTTTGTCATTTGATTCATGACTTGATTTAATATTCAAAAAATAAGATTGGATTTACTATTCAAAAAATAAGTTCCAATTCAAGACTTGTTGACCACAATTGTTTTAGTGACAGTAGTAGATTGGATGTAAGCAAACAGTGTATGAATGAAATATCTAGTCCTATTCCAAATTAACTAATTGCTTGTTAATCTCAATATGAATGTTGATACATGTTTAATTAGAGGAGTGAGAGGGCTTTTGAACCAATTGAGATGCATATGTCAATTTTAACTTGTATGGTAGGAGAATCTAATGTTTAAAAACCAATAGATATTGAAACTTAATAGCTGTGGTTGTTATAATGACAAGAGTAGATTGGATGCAAGCAAAAAAGCGTATGAATGAAGTGTTTAGTCCTATTTTGGAATAACGAATGACTTGTAAATCTCAATAATGTTTATGTGTGTTGATACATGTTTAATTAGAGAAGTGAGAGTTTCTGAACCAAATTGAGACGCAGATGTCAATTTCAACTTATATGAAATGATGAGAATCAATTATATTTGTTAGTGAAAGATTTTTGTTATTCCTTTTCTCACAAAGGTGGATCAACATATTATTTTCAAAAATGGATCAACATACTATTTCTTTATTGTGTCATGAGGATTGTATTTGAATATTCATTTCCTAGATTATAAACCATTTTGCAAGAATATTGTTTGCTGCATATTTGATTAGTCTGTACTCTGCAGAAAGTTTCCAAAGGCAGATCAACATGTTATTTCTTTATTGTCAGGATTGTATTTGGATATTGTGTGAATCCATGATACATAAAAGTGATTCTTTTTATTGTTGAATGTATGGGCTCAACTTATCTTCATTCTCTCTGCAGTTTGAAGATTGCACATTTGATTGGCTTTACTGGCCTCAAGCGCGTGAGCCATACTCTCCTGATACAGTTGATTATATAAACACTCTGGATGCTGAAAAAGACATCGAACTTCTGAAATATTATGGTTGGGATGTTCCAGTTGAGTGTGCAAGAACACTCCGCCTCTCCACAATGTTATTGAAGAAAGGGGTTGAGAGAGGTCTCACTCCTTATGCCATTGGAAACATCATGTGTAGGGAAAATTTGAACAAGAAATCAGTAATTGAGGAGATTGTTTTTGAAGCCCAGGAATCATTGCTCCCTGGCATGAATGAATCTGTTTTTCTCGAAATTGTATCGCAGATCATGGATTCCCGCCTTGGTGAGCTTTCCAAATAGACTTTTTTCTATTTCTTTCTGATTCATAGGTATAATAATGCATTTACTTATGTATTAAATGAAGATTACCAGTCCATATATATTTGAATGGACTTGAGGGTTGTATAAGAAGGTGAGAGGTGTTTTGGACCTATAGGTCGGATTAGATTGCCTATTAATCACCCAATCAACCCCATAAGATTTGTATCGCCATTTTGAACAGAAGTTATAAAAAAAGAGTATGAATAATTTGTATTATATTTTACTGAGATGTTGTGATGGTTGGAACAGACATAGGAGTTGGATATGTCTGGTGTACATAATAAACTGTTTACTCCTTTTTATTTTGGTACTGAGGAAAAATGAAGAAAAAAAATGAATCCTTGAGATTTACACGAAAGTATGTAATGTAATTTAAGCAAGATATAATAATCTACTGACATTGCAAGTCCTAAAATTATCATGTAACTTGAATCCGAACTACATGCATGTTCAACTTTCAGAATACATGTAAAGATAAAAACAACTGTATTGTTAAATCTATTTGCGGATTGTTCATCTGCATCCCTCCGTATCCTAAAAACAACTAAATTTAATTCAAACACTTTTTTTTAGCCATTACAATTTTGATGAAACTAAATTGGTCATTAGAAATTTCCAAGAATAGGAAAAACAAAAATAGAAAACCCTTAAATTTAATTTTTAGTTGTATGAAACACTCAACATAAGTTTGCAATTCAATGAAGTATATTAAAGGGAAAATTTATGGACAGTTGTAAAACCGGCCCAACGATGTTGTAACGTGTAGAACTAGTGTAGAGTGGAGAGATAACAATTATAATATAAAGAAAATGGTGGAAAATGGTCAATGTAAAGAGCAAACACATGGATGCTATTTTTTTTCTCTGAGGATCGTGAGATGGCAACTCAAAAGAGCAGGAGGATCTTGACTCCCATATCATTGCAAAGAGAGTAAATTAAATAGAGTATTAAAAAATGCTAAAAGTGTAGCTTCTGCCAAATCACTTAGCTGAATGCGATTATGTGATTTGGCTCAACACTAATCATGCACTAAAGTTTAAGTAATAGATATTTTTTATAGACTCTTGAGGCCGTACTAGTTCACACAGTATAGTGCAGAGCACATTTATGAAACACCAAAAGTAAAGAAGCCCTACACTCCAAGACAAAAATTGACAGGTAAATAAAATTGGACCGAAAGCAACACAACAAAAAATTAATGCCCCATACACAATCTCATCACATGTGCCACTGCATTTTCACATCCTCACACATGTCCTTATATAGATACATAGATAGATACACTAGTTTTTTTCCCCACTACTATTACTACTAGTTAGTTAAACTTAGATCCTCCCACCCATCAAAATCATCACCATGACCAAACCTGAAAGACCACCGTCAAGCCGCACCAACCTCGCCTCATGTGTCGTCGCCACCATTTTCTTAATCTTCATCTTCATCATCATCTTCACTCTTTACTTCACACTTTTCAAACCACAAGATCCTAAAATCTCCGTCACCGCCGTCCAGCTCCCTTCCTTCTCCCTCACAAACAACGGCACAACAGCTAATTTAACTTTCTCGCAATACGCTTCCGTTAGAAACCCTAACAGAGGAACGTTCTCACACTACGATAGCTCCTTTCAGCTTCTCTGCTATGGAAGACAAATCGGTTTCATGTTTGTTCCCGCCGGGAAGATCAATGCGAGAAGAACGGAATACATGGCCGCCACGTTCACCGTTCAGTCTCTTCCGTTGGGGTTGGAGGGAAATAGTTCTGATGGAGTTAATAGAGTTGGACCGACGATGGAGATTGAGTCGACGATAGAGATGGCGGGGAGGGTGAGAGTGTTGAATCTGTTCAGTCATCACGTGGAGGCGAAAGCTGAATGCAGAGTCGCCATCGCCGTCGCGGATGGAACCGTTATAGGTTTTCACTGCTAATTAGTTTTCTTCTTATTATTAATTATTATCTAATTAATCTTTTGTTTTTGTAACTGTAAACTAAATTAGTTAGTGGAAGTAGCTAAATTGATTATCTATGAATATTTAGAAGGGAGTGTATATCATAGTAGTAATTCAGTAGTTAATTATTAGTTTCAATGTACTAGAAATTAAATTATGAATAATTAGTTTAGATAAAGATTATATATGAATGAATACTAATTCGAGTGGGTAAAACCAAGATTTTTAAAAACACTTGCGGTCATAAAGACTTTGCGATTTCTGCTGGTGTACGTGTTACAATATTGATTGTAGTTATTATGGTGTAAATTAACTATAATTTGTTTTATAACATAAAAACGATGAAGAACAGTATCGATATCAACATATGACAATACCGTTATGTGGTTAGAAAGGATTAAGTTACAATCCCTTGATTCATGCACGACCATCATTTTCTATGATTCTAACACTTTAATAAAATTATTCTATTATGCATTTATGTATCTAATGTTTATATAAGTGTAGGATCAAACTGATACATTCTTATGTATATATAAAGGCAGTATGTGAATCTAATACGATAAACTATTTTTGATAATTTCTAACTTCGCATCAAAGCTCTTAAACTTGAAGGCTCTCGATCCAATTCATTTATGTCAGCTCTTAAACTTGAAGGCTCTCGATCCAATTCAATTATGTCGCCCGTTGCAGATACAAAATACAAATTTAATTCAACCATGTCATCTGCTGCAGATACAAAATACAAAAATGATCTTCCTTTAACTATTTGTGTCAATCTGGACAAAGATGATTATCCCTTATGAAAGTCATTGGTTCTGCTAGTCATCAGAGGTTGCAGGCTCGACTGCTACATGTTGGGAACCAAAGAGTGCCCTGAACAATTCATCACCAACATAGACAAAGGACAGCAGACCAATCCAGAATTTGAAGAATGGCAAGCACAAGATCAAAAACTATTAGGATGACTGTTAAACTCCATGATAGTAGACATTGCCACACAACTGCTGAATAGTGAAATATCTAAGCAATTATAGGATGAAGCACAAAGCCTTGCTGGTGCACACACACAAAATTCCACATGTACCTCAAATATGAATTTCACGACACTCGAAAAGGAGAGCTGAAGATGGAAGAATATATTGTCAAAATGAAGAGTCTTGCTGACAAACTTAAGCTTGCAGGTGCACTTATGTCAAACTCTGATTTGATGATTCAAACACTTAATGGCTTAGACACTGAGTACAATCCAGTAGTTGTCAAACTATCTGATCAGATCAACCTCAGTTGGGTTGATCTATAGACAAACTCCTAATGTTTGAAAGCAGGTTGGAACAATTGAACAATCTTACCACTCTCGCATTGAATGCATATGCTAACTTTGCAAACAAGATTGATTTTAGAGGCAACAAGTTCCTCACATGTGGAAATTAGAGAGGATCAAATATCAGAGGCATGAGAGGTGGTAGAGGAAGAGGAAGAACATCCAAACCAATCTGCCAGGTATGTACTAAAGTTGGCCACATCGCTGTATAATGTTACTATCACTTTGATAAGTCTTACTCAAACACTAACCAATCAACAGAAGGAATAAATAGTAGTGCACTCATAGCTTCACACTACAATGGACAAGACTATGAATGCTACTTTGACAATGGTACCAGCAATCATGTGACTCACCAAACCGACAAGCTTCAATATCTCACTGAGCACAATGGTAAGAATTCCCTAATGGTTGGTAATGGTGGCAAGTTAAAAACTGTTGCTTCATCTTCAACCAAACTTAAAAACCTAAACTTGCATGGTGTCTTATATGTATCTGGAATTACAAAAAATTTAGTGAGTGTGTTTAAGTTAACTACTGACAACAACATTATTGTTGAATTTGATGTTGATTATTGGATTTTTTCACGTACCTGCCCTTGTTTGAAAATTTTAATCCCACAATGCCCTATCTGAAAACTTAATTACATGGATACCCTGGTTTAGTAGGAGTTCGTCCATTGATTGGACGAACTAGTGAAAGCAAAGAGGAAGTTCGTCCTTCCCATGGGCGAACGAGTGAAGAGGATTTTCCATGCATAAGTTCACCCATCCAATGGGCGAACATGTGAAGGAGTTGTTTTTTTTTTTTGTTTTTTAATTTTTTTATTTTTTGTTAATTATATTTAAGATATATTTAAATAATATAATGTAAAAAATATTTAAATAAATTAATATAAAAACTTTTAAATAATTTAATATTAAAACTATTTATATTATTTAGTATAAAAACTATTTAAATAGTTTAATATAAAAACTATTTTATTAATTTAATTTAAAAACTATTTTTTTAATTTAATATTAAAAGTATTTTATTAATTGAATTTAAAAAATATTTTATTAATTGAATTTAAAAACTATTTTATTAATTGAATTTAAAAACAATTTTACTAATTGATTAAATAATTTACAACAATAAAATTAGAAGATTAAATTACAAAAATATAATTGATTAAATAAATACACATCTCATCGGAGATGACCTCCAGTTCCACACCTAGGGGGCCTTCGCTGTCGGTATCCTCTGCCCAAACGCTCGTTTGCAGCTGATTGAGAGGAGTCTGAAGACAAATCTTCATTATGATGTGTTCTCGGGGGGATTGTCTGCCTTGAAGAGGGTCCTGATTCATCATCATTTAGAATATCTTCGATGTTAAAATCTGGCATTTGCGTCAGTTGCTCCTCTGTCAGTAAAAAATGTTGAAATGAATGTGATGGTTGTGGTGGTTGTGGGTATGTATCGGCTTGGGGTTGTTGCATGGTTGAGATGTATACGTCATCGGGCGTGAAGGCGGGTTGAGAGAAGGTAGTGCTGAAGGTAGGATTTGTAGGATATTGGACATAAGGGTTGCTCTGCTGAAAGTTGGGGGTTGTGCATGTGGTCAACTGTCTGGGTGGTCGGAGGTAGGGTTGGGGCTGATATTGTTGGGAGAACTGGGGGAAGTTATAGTTAGGTTGAGCTGAAGAGGATGGGTACCCCCCAAATTGAGAGGTTTGGGTTGGTGGGACATGCTGATGCATTGATGCGGGAGTTTGTTGTGTCGATGATGATGGTTGCGTCCGTGGGTCGGTTAGAAATTGATCCGGAGCAACATGAACATAAGGAATTGCGCGGAACCAAGTTAGATACTCTTGACTTGGTTTGCGTTCACCAAATATAGCGCCCCCCTGCAAAATCACATCTCTTCTATGTTTCCATTCTCACACCTCGTCCTTGTGTAACTGTTGCCAATGAACTTTTTGCGCTTTTCGCATCGTAATTGCGTGATGTTTCTTCAAGCACCTAGGAAGTGGAGGGATCTGTTGGTCAAATCCAAACTGGAGTGTTACCCTATCTGATTGATGCATCTCAATGATGTAGAAACAGACAAGGTAAGTTGTTGCACTCCAGATTTGGCTATCTTCTAGACGCGGCACCGGGTACTGAATGTACGGCCTCCATATAAACTGTCACATAACAAATAAAATTAAGATAACTTTAAATGTGAAGAACCGACCACTATTTTCAATTGGTTTAAAACTTACATCTTTTTCTTGCATATGATCCAACACGTTTCGATATCCTTGTAGATGGAAGCGAGGAGTTGCACGATAATTCATTCCCCTTTGTGTCCACCTTGTGTAACCCAAAAAAAACATTAATATTGTTAGACATAGTTGAATAAGAAATATATATATATTACGTACATAAATATGAGTGTTACGAAAATACCTTTGTGCATATGGAAACGATGGTTCCACAGTATTGATAGGAGCGAACAATGGGATGCGTGTGAATGCCCAAGATGTTAGTAGGAGAGCACAACCACTCATGCTCCTAACATCTTTTTCTGCTGCCTTGCACATTTCTCTGTACAATTTTGCAAGGCATGCAGAACCCCAACTATATGTTCCACACTTAATGAGATCCCCCACGAAAGGGACCCAAGATGAATGCAAAAGGTTTTGAGTTTTGTCAGGAAACAAAACCGTTGCGATCACGAGCAAAATAAAAAGTTTAGCTTCTAATAAAACATCTTCTTGTGTGGGTCTATCTATGTTTTTTAAATTTTCATATTCACTCTCAATCCAAGTTATTTTAACAAAACCTTTCATTTTATCTGTTTCTGTTGGTTCCTTCCCCAAGTAATCCATGTAAACAGAATTTGTTACCTCGGTGGGACCGTTGATAGCTTTGCCATCAACTCGCAGACCTAGTAACATACATGTATCTTCTAGGGTTATGGTGCATTCACCGGTTGGCAAGTGAAAAGTGTGCGTTTCCGGTCTCCACTTCTCCAACAGAGCCAGAATTAAGCTTGAGTCAATTTTCAAGCTGTTTATTTTTGAAATGTTTGCGAATCCTGCGATTTCAAGATAAGGCATTATTCTTGCATTCGCTTGAACCGGAGAATGTGAATGCACCCTAAACCTCGGAGCATTAATCTGTAACAATATTAAACCAACATTAATTAGTCACGATTTTTATGTCGAAAAAATAAATTCACAAAGAGCAATATACAACAATTTATGACAATAGAACTTACACTATTATTGATATTTTGTTGAGTACCACGGTGGTCTTCGCCCATCCATAACAATGCCATTTTAGTCGGGTAAAATTGCAAGATAGTAGAGAAATATATGTGATAATTGCTAGATAGTAGAGAGAATGTAAAACTGTGTGTAAATTTTGTAGAATGTAAAAACGAATTTATAGTAGATTGTATGTAAATTTAATATTTACTTTAAGTATTTTGGAAATTAAAATGTGACAAGACCATTGCATGGCACTAGGGTTTTCTACCATGCATGCAACACTAGCTTCTTACACAATACGCATGCATTCACTTCACGTGAAACCCTAGTTTTCTGTTGCAGACTTCACATGTTCGCCCATGCAAAGGACGAAGCAAGCATTTCCTTCACATGTTCGCCCATGGGAAGGACGAACTCAG